TGGATGGGACTTATAAAAAAATTCCTACCTGTCCAGTTTTCTCCGAGAGCTTGTTAGAGAAGGGAAGGAGTGAATGTAAATGTGCTGAGAACATTTCTCATTGGGTCCTTTGGCAAGTCATGCATCCTGCAGATAACCCAACAAAAGGGAGGGATGGAGAGACCTCTCTTCTCAAAGCTGCTATTTCTCTTTTCCCTAAAAACCAAGCTTCTTCCAAATATAGGGCGCTTTTTTTTTTTTGACATTTTATTACAAAGTGCTTCAAACATGTAAGAATGTTGAAAGAATTATATGGTCTATACCCATGTGCCCATCACTTATTTTATATACTTAACATTTAACTCTACTTGATTTGTCATATATCTCTCTCTACCCATCCATCAGACCATCTTTTTATTTCTTTTTGGGGATACATGGTGTGGGTAAGTGACAAAGGAAGTTCTGTTTATGTCTAGTACAAATATTCTAATGTCCACACTTCTTGTTTGCATGCACTACTGAGCCAGAGCAGACCCTTTACAGTTTCCCCCAGGCATCTCCTGCTCCTGGTCTCATCCTGTCTGACCCCCACCCTCCGTATGCCCAGACTCCATTCACACCAGACATCTCACCCATCATGGGAACACACATGGATGGTTGTGGCCTCCGTGTATTTGAAAATTCTCTTCTTCCTTCTATGGAGAAGACCCATTTTCCCAACTCTTTGACTCTTACTTATCCTTCAAGATCCTCCAGCTATTCACCATTTTTCTCATGCCTCCAGGCAATTAACACCTACTTCCAGTGGTGTGTTGGTAAATGTTTAACAACCTGTCCTTCCAGGGAAAAATACCCCTGGTTTGTAGCATTTGCAGATTTCCATGGTATGAATCTTCTTCCCTACCTCTGATTTATGCTGCCCACATGTAGTTACTGTACATTGGGCTAAGAAGACATGTGCTCAGTATCCTCTCACTAGCTCAGAATCCAGCTCCAGCACACCACTGCCACCTCCACTCTTGATACTTGTCACAGCCCATTGTCACTGTTCACATGACCTCCTAAAGCAGAGACCATGTTTTATTGATATTTCTGTTGCTAGCAGTGAGCACAAGGCAGGCTCTCTAGGATAGGAGTCACAGCAACACTTAATGACCCAATGATTTGGGTAGTAAGTTGTATTCTGTATAGCACTTTCTGCACACCTCTAATCAGGTAAAACTGAGGACTGCATAGTGGGAGCTGAGTGAGTAGGCACTGAGTGGATGTCAGGCAGCATCTGGGGTGTGCAGCAAATACCCCGGGCCAGAAGGATCTCTCTTCTCCCTGGCCCTTGGCCCCCCCATCACTGTAACTCCCCTGCAGTTCCCGGGTCCCTTAGGGGCTGAAGTCCACCCGCTGGGCATGCAGCACTCACTGAGGAGGCTGTTCAGCACCGACACCTTTAAGACCTCATAAGAAGTCAGCATGCTGCTAACTAAAGGTCAGGAAGGACACATATTAAAGCAAATCTTTTTGGTTGTCCATTATCCTCCATCTGGAGGAAAATCGCGCAGGGTTGCCCACATTCTAAAAGTAGTACCAGAATACCCCAGGCATAAAAGAAGATTAAAACTTAAAAGCTGAAAAGAGAAGCCCCCAAAAAGAAGTGATAATTATTTGAATGAAAACAAAAATGAAATTTTACTTAAAATCACTAATTTTTTTAAACCGTATGAAATACTGCCTTTCAGTTTTGCACTTTCAAGTTAAAATTACTGATCATATTATTTTTAATGAAAAATAGTTACATTTTAATGTAAAAGGTATTTTACTTGCCTTCATTCTTTAATATACTGAATTTTAATTGAGTTACTGGGGTACATTTCCATTACATAAACAGAGCAAGAACCAAGAATGTTAAATATGACATTGTATATGCATGCTTTAGGTAGTAAAATTCTGAAGACCATGCATTTTTCCTCAATCTTTCTTTTGAATATGGACTGTGAGGACTTGCAATGGATCATAAGTATTCAAAAAACAGTTTCAATGATCTCTGGAAAATACCAAAAGCTAGAATAGTAAATATACCAGGACATTCATATCTGAGCTTAATTCTATTCTGCTACAATTCAGCTCCTTTAAGAACAATTATATATTCAGATATTTTATTTGGATACTGAAAATTTTCCTGAGGTTATAAATGTGCAATATGAGTTCAATTTTAATTTTGATTACTTGGGAAATATTGAAGGTAAGTCCCAGGGTGAAACCTTAAGAGATACTTGTTTTTAATGCCCCTTCTTACTTATTTTTATGATCAGGTTATTTGACTTTTTGAGTAAACATATTCTGATTTTATAATAAGGGCAGTAGAACCTCTTACTTCCCGGTTATTGAGAAATTTAAAAAGAGATGGCATTTTTTCATTAGAAAAAGTTAAGATATGCTGTGTATCACGATTTGTTGGGAGCACAACTATGAATTTGTACCAAAGAATACCTGTTCAGAGAATGTTCTCCAGTAGGTCAACTGACCTGAAAAACTCAGGCCCTGAGTGTCAAAATCTTCATCTTACATTTAAAATTCCGTGTTTATTTGAGCATTTTTCTGAGCATCAGCTTATACTGAGCTGAGAAGGATGGGTCTACATAATTTATTTTTAGTTCTTTGCTTTTCTTTGCTCTGATTATGGTTTTTGTAAGTCATTATTGAAATTTTTTTGCAAGATTATCCTTTTTATATATTTTTCACTTATTTTATGTTTTCCCTTCTCATTTCTCTTATATATTTATATAGAATTTTATTTCTAGACATTTAATTACTACTTGCTGCTTTTCTTGTGTTTCTAAATCTAGTCACCATTTTTGGACTTGCTCACACTTTTAGAGCCTGGTCACACTTTCCATTCTGTGTGTCTGTTGGATGGATTTTATGACCTGGTCACACTGCTTGTTGGAGAGTTAAGCTAAGTTTTCCTCACTTAGCACATTACGACCTCTTCTTGGACTGGGAAATAGTAAACAGAGTAGTAATAGCACAATGTTAGCAAGCAGCATTTAACTAATAACTGAAAAAATGTATATAGAAAAACCACCTTAAGAAGAGTAATGGCCATCACTTTTTTTTTTTTCATAGCAAATTACCTAAACACCAAGCACAGAAACTTCAGACTTTTAGATGGGCTGCAGGACAGGATTTATTGCATAAAGAATCTGCTTACAAACCACAGATAATAAATATTGTTAGAAACTCAGAATAAAGAAAGCTTGAGGCAGAAATCCTATATACATCTCATCTTCCCCTCCATGTAGTACAATCCAAGGAACCAAGAACAAATGAAAATCCCTGGTTCCACTTGGTCATCTGAAAGACTTTATTGGAGAATGGCTTTCTTCCAATGGATTTAAGTTTACTCATTTGCAGGCAGACTAGCTGGCAGTAGTAAGTCCTGCCAATCAGATGTGTTGAAAGATAACCTGCCACAAGAGAGTAAGAAATGGCCAAAGTATGGGCTGTTTGAGGGCTTTCAGAGAGATGAGAGGAAGCCAGCTAACTGGTACACACTTTCTGGTACCAGCCATGAGCACGTAAGGATGGGTGTCCCTTGGTATTGCCTCTGACAAATTAGCCCACTCAGCCCGCTGTGTTATTGGGGTGGAGAGAAAAGCAGAGATCTTTCCTCCAGCCGTTTCAAAATTGTGTCACTGTTGGTGTGAGTTTTCTTTCTACAGAAATGCTAGAGTGTTTATTAATTGTTTGATCCTTATCAAACAATGAAATTCCAAATCACATTATTAAAGGCTAAGAGAAGCAGCAGAAATCTTTCCCTCCAAAAGGTCAGAAAGCTTATTTTTATCATGGATTAGAAATCCAAAACTTACACCAGGTACCATCTGTGCGCTGCAATATCTGAACAAATTATAGGATTTAAACTGTTCATTCGGATTAGGAACATTTCTAGTTGAAAATTATATTTTGTTGTATTTTTATTAGTGGCAGTAGAATTAGAAAAACAGTCTGAAAAGTCCCATATAATATATAAAAAGGACATCTTATCCCTTTTTGCTTGGATTATAAAATTTTATGGTTTGCGTTTCTCTAAACACGTGTTGAGAATTTAAGAAAAAAGAAAATGTTTATAATATCAATAGCCAATAGAGATTGATTGTTTTCCCATTTGGAAAATGTAGTAAGTGGTAAAACTTAATCAGACAGACCTATGTGTAACTTTTTTATGTAAGTACCGAATTATAAACCATGTCCCACCATATCTCATTAAATCCAATTCAGTAGCTTTCCACTTTTCCCTTTAGGTCTTAGTGAACCAACCAGAAGATGAAAGAGCATCAATTACTAAAACAACTGTTTTAAGGCCATTAAATAATATACATGATATATTTATATATAATATAAATAATATGAATGATTAAATAATATAGTAATAAACATGAGAGATAGGGAGTTAAGGGTCTCTCTAGTTTTATCACTTTTGATCAAGATCGCTATTGAAGAAAAACTGGTTTTGCTTACCCCAGTCTGTTGTATATGTAAATACAATTAAAGGAAAAGTCACTGACTACTCCCTCTTTAAGAGAACTTTTGAAAAAGCGTTTTCCTAAAGTAGTCTTCTCCCCATGGAGACCAGAAAGGAGTAGAAGATCCGCGGATGCACTTTATTCTTCCTGCCAATGCAGCCATCCTTCTATAAACAGGAGAAGGGGACTCACTTACAAGAGAAGGGCAGGAACCTACCCTCTCTGCTCAGGGATTTTTTTTTTTCAGTTAGTTATCTACCCATCTGCCCTTGGAAATCTCAAAAGTTGCTTCTTGGCATTTTGGGGGCCTCTCAAGAATCATATCCAAGTGTCAGTGGTGACATGCATAGGTTTTTAAAGTTGATGTACAGATAAACTCTCTTAAAGGTGGGGAAGAAAAACTGGTTTTGCTTACTACAGTCTGTGATATATGTAAATTTGTAAAATGAGTACAGTTAGGAAAAAAGTCACTGACTACCCAACTCTCTCCTTAACACACAGGAGCAACAGCTGCAGCCCGCAAAGAGGTGATAAGGAACAAGATCCGAGCAATAGGCAAAATGGCCCGAGTGTTCTCAGTGCTCAGGTGGGATTATTCCTCCTCTATTTCTGTTTTGAGTTTGATAATGTGTGACTTGATAATATTTTAATACTTTAATCTGCTAATTTAAATACTTTACTAGAAACCATTTACTTTTCCTTACTTGTTTTTTTAAAAATTTTATGTGAAACTGTCTGTTTCTCTCAGTCGAATTTTAAATATACTAAATCATTTCTGTAGAGAAAACCTCTAAATGGACTGCTTCATATTTTATCCCTCCATTTACTGTCTGACTTTAAAACATTTATTTCACAATAGTTTGAACATGTAGTGAAATAGGAAAGCTATTATAATCCTTTTTATTTTTTTATTCTGGCTCTATGGTAAAAGATGAATTTTTCAGATGCATTTTGTTAGGTTTGTAGAAAATGAACATGAACTGCAAACCTTGTTATTTTATGTTTAATTTCCATGTAGACCATGAATCATGTTATTATGAAGCCTGAATTTATTTTAAAAACAAGTATTTTATTGAAGATGATTAACTACACTTTTCTTTACTTAATGCAATTATCTATTTCTATATAGTACAAATTAACTATATATCTTTTCAAAAAACTACTTTAAAATATGGCATGTTTAGACATATTAGGCATGTTATAGAGTCAATTCACAATTAGACATGAACAAGAGGAAATAGCCCATCTACATATTGCATAATCTCATAACTTAATTTTAGCCAAATTTTTGCCTCAACTCAGAATAGCTACCCTGGCTCTTTCGATCTTTGCTCTTGCTGTTTCTATTATACTCCTAATAGAGCCACTTTAGTAACTAAATGACTTGATGCCACAAGCAGGGAAACATGAGGATGAAAATCATTATCATCCTTTCTCAGAGACACCAAATCAAAGTCAGTCATAGCTCTGCGATGGCCAGTCAAATCCTGAGAAGTCATATTGAAACTGAAAAGAGAGCATAGCTGCTCCCTACACCCTAGTGAATGAGGCTGCCTTTGCTCTAATGCTTTACATTCCTGCCTGAATTTTCAGGACTCATTCATTCATTCCACAATAAATGTAATACATTTTAAAGCACTGATTATACATTAAGAAAAAATAAAGCAATACAGGGGAAAGCAAGTAGGTAATGAGGTACTTAATTTTCTGTGTACTCAAACAAAGAACACTCTGAATAATGGCATTGAGCAGGTGTGGACATGACCTTCATGAAGATATGGGATAAGAACATTTAAGACAAAGGAAATAGCAAGTGCAAAAATCCTTCAATAGAAACAAGTTCAGCAGTTTGAGGACTAGCAAGAAGACTGGTGTGGCTACAAAAATGTCTTGAGGGAGCAAAGGGATATAGAAAGATCCTAAGCTCAACTGTCACCTCTGCATAGCTTGCTTATTTATCATTCTTCAGATTATCAACAAACACTTAAGACTTTTTCTTTCTGAAGTCTCTATGGGAAGTAAAACAGTTCCAAAATTTCTGTGTGAAAATACATTTAGGTAAAGAAGAAACCTTTCTTAACATAAAAACTTGTTTCCATCTGTGATAGTCTTTAATCCATGAAGAGGTAGGGGCAATGCTATAGAATCACAGGTAGGTCTTAAAATTAGAAAGTCCTTCCTGTCTCCTGCCTATGGGTACAGAAGTTGTAATTATTCCCAACTAAGAAATGGTCCAGTTGAGCCCAGTGATGGTCAGTGACTTGAATAAGATTCTTCATATTGATAGAAAATAAAAACAAGGTATATTTTACTGCTTTCCTATAATAAATGCATCTGTAGCAAATCTGCAAATACAGGGGCATCATATCCAGAGAAAAGTAGTTAAACTTAGTAAGTAATGACTGAATATTAAATGTGCTATATACTGCATTAGGCAAAATGGATATCAAGTTGTAATGACACACATGTAGACAATAAATGAATATAAGACAATGAATGTGTACTAAATGCATGAAATGATGTTGTGCTGTGGAAGAGAACAGGAAGGAGTCCTTGTATTTCATGAAAGGAATGTTCATGGAGAGGTTGGCCTTGGAGGAGTGCTGTGAGGAGCAGGCTGGGTTCTGTCGGGTGGAGGAGAATGGGGAAGGCTTGCCTGGGAGCAGAGTCATCAGCAGTGCTGGTAAGGTGCAGGCATGTTGTCTGGGATTCACCAATCAAATGAATGTGCATATAAATTCTGTTTCAGAATGAGCACCAGGAGGAAGCAGCGGGTGGGGCAGGCAAAATCAGTTCTCCGTCGGGTGTGGACTCTGAGGGGCCAACAGAAGAACTTCTTTCTCAGCATTCTGGGGACTAATCACACAGCATCAGCACGAGCTTAGGTGTGGACTTGGCAGCGTTTCCCAGAGCAGATTCTGTAGGGTGGATGGGCGCTAGTATTTGTCTTGGTTGCAGAGCATTCACGTCTGGATCTCTGATCTGTAAATGCTCTAATAATACATCTCTTGACTACTAAAATTAGCCAGAATAGGCTCTTTTGTTTGCTCCAAGAATCCTGACCTATCCAGAGGGTGATGAGGGAGAGGAAATAGTCTAAGAATATTCCACAGAGACACTAACCTATGTGATGAAGAGAATGATAGCACTGTTATTAGGAAAGTGAAAGTATTTCTCCATTTACATATCTAACAGGTATTTATTGGGAAGACCATGAAAACTTGAATGATGGCACATTTTCCTCTGGGATGCTGAGGCAGTTAGAAATTCTGCCACTGGTGCTTCAGAGAGAAATAAAGGTTAGAAATGCAGATATGGGAGCAAACAGATGGAAGTGGTGTAAGTGGGTGGTCTCACTAGGGGAAAGAGTGAGATAGGGAGGAAAGACGAGAGTCCTCTGAGTAGTGTTTTCCCGTGGAAATAGAATGTAAGCCACATTTGTAATACTATATTTTCTAGAAGCCACAGTAAAAGAGTGGAAAGAAGCAAGTGAAATTAATTTTAGTAATGTATTCTATTGAACACATATCAATAAGTTTATGGCTTCAACATGTAGTCAGTATAAAACTTACCAAAGAGATATTTTACAGTCTTATGTTCGTACTAAGTGTTTGGAATCCAGTATTTGTAGCACATCTCAAGTGGGTAGGAGCCACACGTGGCTGGAGCTACTGTGTTAGAAAGCTCAGGTCTGGGCCCAGAGGGACCTCAGCCAAGAGACTGAAAAGGAGAGCCGGAAAGAAAGTGTTAGACGTTGGTGAAGACTCTTTCAGGAAGCGGGGCATAACTGTCGGTTGGAAATACAACAGAGGTGCCCATTTGAGTAAGAACTCAGCAGAAATGGTTGGAATTGAGGAATGGAGAAGCTGCCAGAAACCTCTGAGAGCTTGGGTTTTGTGTGGAGCAGGAGTGACGAACAGAATATAGAGAAATGGAGAACGTAGTGAGTGAAAGCGGGCAAAGGAGCACGGAAGCCTGATGTTGAATATGAATGCAAAGGGAAAAATATGTTCTTTTTTTTAGTTACTCCCAATTTTTCCAAACCCATATGTTAGCATTTAAGGTATTCTGTCTTTATGTGCCTCTATTGGTTTATCAGCAAAAACCTCAAAAGGTTGAAGTCCCTGCATGAAGGAAACCGTGATTAACTCGCCATCTCAAACCTAATATTTTAGAGTAAACACTGCAGTAACAGGTACAAAAATCTAACACATGGATGAACTCTGCCTCTCTGCGTTCTGTTTTCCTTTTACTCATTCTTCTAGTGAGCGGTTTTTTAATGTGGACCATGTACAGGTGCTGTGCTGGTCTAGGTCCTGCGGATGCAGCAGGGAGCAAAGGAGCCAGAAACCGCCCCCTGCTCACATGGAGCTTCTCTAGCCAGGGTAGGATGTAGTGGGCAGTGGAGCTCCAAGGAGACCAAGGAAACAAACTGTATAGTTTTTCAGGTGTGATAAGTGCATCAGGTAAAAATTATAGGCAAGGGGAGATTGGGAGTACTGAAAGGGAATCTGAAGCTAAATAGCATTCTCAAGGAAGTCCTCACTCAGTAAGGAGATGCTTGAGCAGAGATTCAAAGGCAGGGAGGCAGTGAGCCATGCAGATAACAGGAGACCGTGACAAAGCAAGCACAAAGCCAAGGTGGTGTGTGCTGGGTGTGTTTGAGGAACAGCAAGGGGAATAGACATGGGGAGGCATGTCGTCTGAGAGATGGGTAACAATAGGAGAGGGTGGGCTGGGAGCTCATTTTTTAAGGCTCTGGTCAAACCTTCTAAAGACTTGCCTCTCACCTTTAATGAGAAGAGAAGCAACTGGAGAGTTTTTAATAGAGAAGTGACAAGATCTGCATAGGTATTAAAAGGCTCAGACTGGCTGCTACACTTGAGAAGATGTGGGAGGGAGGGGAACAAGGATGGATCAGAGATACCAGTTAAGGCAGAACAGTCTAGGTGCAAGATGCTGGTGGTGAGTGAAAGAAATCAGTGACCAAAGACTACATGTTGTATGACTCTGTTTGTATGAAATGTCCAGAAGGAGCAAATCTACAGAAAGTATGTTAGTGGTTACATAAAGGTAAAAGAAATAGGGAATGAATGACCCATATGGACACAGAATTTCTTTTTGGGATGATGAAAATATTTTAAAATTGATTATGGTGATGGTTTCAGAACTCTGTTAGTATACTCAAAACCATCAGAATCTTATACTGGGCAAATTGGGGTGTGAATTATGTTTCAATAAAACTGTTTCTAAAAGAGATGAAGTAATATTACTGTAAGAAGTGGTTCAATGGAAGCAGTTTGAGGGTAGAGCCCTCAAGATTTGCTGTGGAGTGGATGTGGATTGAGAAAGGATAAAAGGAATGAAGGCTGATACTTCAGTATAACTGAAAGAGCAAGTTGAAGAAAGATTGTAGAAGTAGCAAGTTTTGGAGAGGAGTTTAGGAATTCTGTTCAAGTCAGGTTAGACACTGTCATTAACATGTGGAGTAGGTAGTTGCACTTATTGTAAACATTACATATGTGTGTTATAAGCATTTTGTTCTGCCTATGTAGAATTACATTGTCTGCCATGTGGAAAGATATGAGGTTATTTCTATTTCATGGTTATATGATCATTCTGATTTATTGGGAAATTAGAATGATTAACAGTACTGTGATTAATAAATACAATTGCAATAATGATGTACTAAACTTGTAAAACAGTTGCCTTATTGAGTAATAAAATAATTTTATTATTAGCAAATCAGGGAGGAAAGAGATTGCTGTAAGGCTAGGAAGTTTTGCCAGTGGCTCTCTTAGCTAATTGTCATTGTTTTGTATGTTTATCATGTAATGTCAAAATTCTTTATTAGTTCCCTGAATGTAATTTATAGTTCCCTAATCCATAGATCAGATTTATTTTTTTAATCTCCATATACTCTTTGGTTTTTTCCCCTAAGTCTAATCAGTTCCATTTACTTCTGCTGAGCCCTGGCTGGAAAACTTGCATCAGCACTCTCTGATGGCTAGTTTTTAACATATTCATGGGCTTCACAGAGGATGCCCAGACAACACAGCGTTGTGATTCCTGCTTACAGAATCAGAATTGTTTTCCGTATCTTCACTACTCAAAAGTTTCTGAAGTTCCACAATGGCGCAACTGTGCCCTTTGTCATGGAAGTCACATTATTTCCCTAACTTGTATTATAGGAATGTATAAACAAATATTTTTAAGTAAAAAAAAAATTCTTGGTGGCCAAGATAGAGGTAAATGTGAGTTCTTACACGTATTTTTTTTTCCCTTCAAGTGTTTTCTCTTTATTGAAAGAAAATAAAATTAATGTCTCTTCCCTGACTTCCCTTGTGCCTTCCAGAGAAGAGAGTGAGAGCGTGCTGACGCTGAAAGGCTTGACTCCCACGGGCATGCTCCCCAGCGGGGTGCTTTCTGGAGGGAAGCAAACGCTGCAAAGCGGTAAGCAGGCCAATTGGTGTGGCCGTGTACCCAGAGCCTCAGAGGCAGCTGGGTCATTAGGGCCCTGATATAATCACCCAATTTATCTTGGTCTTGGTCGTCAGCTCTTCTCAGCTGGAAGAAAGGCTAAAACACCCCGTCAATTTGACTGGTCCTATCCACCCCTACTAGCTCCCTCATACACCTGGAATGTGGTCTTGAGCAGACCTCTGTGCCCATCCCTCATTTACATGTTAACCACATATTCAGGCCTTGCTGTAAGAAGACTCATTTAGGTTTCCTGCAGACATGGTCGATTTGACCACTTTGAGCCAATCAGTTTGCTAAAAACAACTTCATAATTACATTTTTACTAAACGTCCTAGCTCTGTGATTGATAAAAGAAGCACACCCATAAATATACACCCATAAGTCTAGAGTTTGGTGGAGAATGGAAGAATATAAAAAGATGATTTCACTATCTGCTTGAATAGAAATTGAGAGTCATCTAAGTCTTTTCTCTGATTTTGTCCATCCAAAACATAAGAGACTGAGTAGAACCACATTTTGTTTTTGAAAAAGAATTCAAACATTTCCTTTGAGGTAGAGATTTTGTATTAAAATGTGTAGCTTTCTGGACAAGAACTGTCCAGTAGAACTTTTTGTGCTGATGGAAATTTCTGTATCTGTACAGAAACCACAGGTAACATAGGGCTGTTGAGCACTTGAAATTTAGCTTGTACAAGTGAGCAACTCCCTTTTTTATTTTATTTAATTTTCAAATTTGATTTAAATAGTCACATGTGGCTAGTGGCTACCATATCAGACAGCTTGGTACTATGTACTCTTTTGCATTTGTTACTTTTGTTACCTATTTTAACTAATATTATCATTAACTAGTCCAATTTCAACAGTATTTCATAGAAATTTTTCTATTAGATTAATAGAAAAAAATTAAAATGAAATAAGCTGTAACAATTTCAAAGTATCTCAGCCTCTTGCTTATTTTCTTATATCTTTCACTAAATCTTTTTGATATTTTCTTTTCTATCCCTATTCTTTAATCTGAAAGATTCAGGTATTATGGAAACATTATTTAGACATACCTCTTCCACTCAGAGAGTAATGTTCACCTACATTAATATGATATTGCTAAATGATCACATCCTGGCAACATTTTCTAAAATTTTAAAACATAAACTACACTTTTATTTATATATGAATTTATTCCAAAACTCAATGTATTTGAGTTACACAAAAAGAAAGAATTCCTAAATGAAGGTAGGAAATTACATAATGTCAAAGTAAATCCCCCCCTTAAATTTATAGCTAAAAGTTATTATTAAAACTAAAAAAAAAAACAAAACAAGATTTTTTCCACTGGAGTAAACATGCTCTCTAAAAACATTAGCATAAATGGATCATTTATATGCACAATCACCTAACTGATTGAAGTCTGCATAGTTTCTTATAAACACATTTAAGGTACAGCAAGTGCACTTTCAGAAACTTTGGGCCACATTTGCTTTTGAAGGATACATTTAATAATGGGCAATATATATTTCTAATATATTGGTGCTGGTGTGGTTCCAGATTTGTTTTGCTTTACTTTTAAACTTAAGTTCTTACAATTCTTTGTTCTGTTTCCAGATTTTCACCTATATTTTAACTTAGGTTGTTGTTTCCTTTTCTGTTACTTTATTTTAAATCCATTGGTTGGTCGTATTCTGTGTTGAACTGACACACACAAAGATATATACACACATAACAGATATAAGGGTTGGAATCTCATTAGTCCTGAGAATTTGGAAACTCTGTATATATTTTAAACCAAATACATTAATACAATTTCAAATCCATTGTCTGATGGCCCTTCAATTTGTCAAAAGGAGAAACTACTTAAGGTTTTATTATTAGCTTTTTTACAATGGCTATAGCCATTTCACAATTTTAATATAAGGAATTTAGAATGCACTGTAAGTAATGTTATAGTGCACACTTGGTAGTTGCTCTAGTTTTTAAATCTCAAATGATAAGAGATGTGCAAATAAAAGTCAAGGTGTGGAATTTTAATAATAATCACTTTGTAGTTAACTGAGAATTTCTGCATTTTAGCACTTAATTAAGGAAATATCGACTAATCTTAATAACATAGAAGGACTTATACACCTGAAGAGTGAGAATATAGACCCTAATGTTCTTAAAAAACTTGCTGATAAAGCAGTGGGCTTTTAAAGTTTTGCCTCTGTAATATGCTGAGCTTTCAGTATGTAGACTGCCTTTTCTTTAAAATGCTAATAGAATTATTGCTGCTACTAGCATGTTACCACTTGACTGTAACATTTCAAGAATTTTATTTCCAAAACTGGTATTCCAATAAGGAAAATTGACTTTTTAAGTTGGATTGCCTGGCAAAAGAAATCCAGACTATCACACCTGTCCTTTGCCTTTCTCCCTCACTGCCCCAAACTGGTTGGTGTTTGTCTGAAGAGTTCCATGCATTATCAATTCAGAAACATAAATTTTATTCTTCCTCCAAATTTGTGTTCGCGCGCGCGGGCGCGCACACACACACACACACACACACACACACACACTGCTTTTCCATTGCATTAGGAAACCATGCTTCAGGCTCTATCATTTTGTCTGGCATTTTAAAGCTGTTTATCACCAAACACGTTAGTGGCTTTATCCGACTGTGTGTGAGTTCAATACATTTGAGATTGACCCACTCCCTTACTGATTCAAAGTGAAAGAAATCTTCCCTGAATGAAGGATTGATCGGTCATTTGTTTAGTAAGCAAATCACTCAGATAGGTGTATTCAGCTCATAAAATAAACTCATCATTCTTTTCAGTGTTTTTTTCTTTCTTTTTGTCATTTCTGTTTTGTTGTTTATGCCAGAACCAGCACTTTCAGGAACATTAGTTCTCTTGGCTCCCTTGATGGTCACTGATTTGTGCTTAGAGTTAAAAATCCTCTGCTCATTTTTCTCATTCATTTTGCACCCCCTTTCTTCTCTTCAGCTACTGTTGAGGCTATTGAGGCTGATGAAGGTAAATTGGCCAGTCCCCTTTCTGTTGTATCTGCAACAGACAAGGGCTCTGCTGGGTGTATTCATTTTTTTTTTTCTTTTTTTTTTTTTTTGCTGTAGCTTGTACAGAGTGTGTGGGTGTTGGGCTAACAGTTGTGGCTCAGTATTAACCAAAATGTTCTTGCTTTAAAGGGGAAAATGTCCTTTTATGGTTTGTTTGTTTGTTTTTTTTCTCTTAAAGCTATGTTTGACTTTGTATACAATGAGCCTAATCTAATCACAGAAAACACAAGGATTATATATCTTGAACAATGTGGGGTGGGGGTTATGGCAGCTGTTTTGACCAATTGCACAAATTCTTTGAGTGGAATATGTCCCTCCCTCAAATCACTTTCAGTCAGCACTAAAAAGAAGAGAAGGAAAATAACTTTATTAATTCTAGTCGTCAGAATTTTCTAGAAAAAAATAATGTTCATTTGAATAATGCTTTGTTGAAGTTCAACACTAATTTGTGTCTCTATAAAAATAACATGAGACAGCTGTGTATGAGATAAACAGTTCTGCTAGTCTTATCAAATTTTAATTTACTGGTACTTGTAGGACCTTTAACACCAGCAAAATATTATAAAGAGGTCAAAAATATTTAGTGGTGATACAAGTGGCTGGTAACAAGAATAGTGAATATCGAGTCATCCACCTAATTGTCATTTACTGAGTGTCTGCTCTGTGTCAGTCACTGTGCTGAGGTCTGCAGGGAGGTCAGGAAGTGTGCCTCATTGTGTCCCAGCACTCCTCAAAGACAATAGAGATGACCCTGTGGCAATTACCTTTGAGTCAAGCTGTTTAAATATATATAGTTATGAGAGAACTACATATCAAAATAGCTTTTAATATTATACACACCATACCCTCTGGCAACTTTAAAAAGAATAATTTGAAGTTCCCCTTTAAAACAAAAGTATTCAGTTGTATTTTGTTCTTGCAAAGTAACTCTTATTTTTCCCAAAATTGTGTGCATATGGTCCTTTGATATGATGTAAAAAGTGCCACGTTAGACTCTTTAATTTGTACATGATTTGGATATGGTAGGGGAAATGATAGCACTGTAAGAGAAAATACAACTGCTTCCTAAATAGCAGTGAACAAACTGCTATTTATGTGGGAATTCTCTATTCCTCTTGGCAAATTCTAATCTGCAGTGTGCATTCTTGTTGATAGTTTGGCTGTTTTCTGTGGTTTCTGTGACTCTGTGTTGTGTTAAGTATACTACCAATGTAAATTGCTAATATCCATTGTCTGACCAGCAACTACAGCAGAGCACATTCTTCCATACCAGGACAGACAAAAACAATTAGAAATGGAGCCCCATTCTAGGCATTCCCGTTGTTCTCGCTAGATTTCGAATTTCTGTGCTCCCACCTTATTGGTTTTTAAAACCTAGAGATTCTACTTTTACCATTTAAATTAATAAAATCACTTCATATATTATCATGATGACAAATTTTTTATATTTATTAATTATGATGAAATGATATTCACAGTACATTAGAAAAAGAATAGAGTACTACTTTATGCCACTATTTTGTCCCTTAAAATAACTGAGTTAGTTTTCAGGGTAGGTGTTCATTAGACAGATCTATTATTTGCAGTTTATTCCTAAATTAGAGAAGAATTAAGAAGCTTTGCTTTGGGCCTTGGTCTCTCCCCATTTCCCTGTCTTTTACTCTTACAATTGACTAATCACCATTATGCTAACCTTCAGAATGCAAAGAGGGGACAAACTATTTCTCATCATTAAATAAGTTTGATAGCAACTGTGTATATCTTTTAAGAATCTCATCCATACCACTGAAAGGCACTGCATATCTGTGTAAGACTGGCTGGTAAAGTTTCAGCTTGAAACTGCTTTCCTTTTTTTCCCCAAATAAGTTAGGGAGGGTAAATGTACCATGCAGTTGTCCTTGATCAGCCATGGAGATGCAGCCCAATTCAGCATTTATGTACTTCATTTTCAGCTCGTGGGTTGGTGCACCCACTAAAGAAATCATTATGTTTCTTGCTCAAATGCCTTATCTATCTCTGGAGCACACTGAGGGTTAATGAAAAAAATCAAATATCCATGCTGCCCCTTTTGAGAATTCCATGTTTTCATTGAATAGGGCCAAAACCAGTCCTATTCACTTTTGTTGAAAGTTGTCAAAGGTATGTTCCCTTGTTATTCTTGAACCATCACTTATATCTACACTGATTTACTAAGAAAGAGTTTTTCTTTGATTTAGGCAGTAATGGATACCAGATGAACATCAGTTTGACCTGTTCACTGCTGAAGGGCAGATCATGTTTTTCTGCTTAGTGAGCTGATCTTCATTTTTCTAACTTTCACTTACCTTGTCGCCCACTCCACATACTTACAAAGTTGAGTGAGAAGCAGGAGTTTATAATTGTATTTTTCTTCCTGCCACCATTGAGTTGTTAGCCAAGGAAGTCTTAATGGGACTCTAAGATGGCATGGAAATGCACCAGAGTTAATTCCTTTTATAACTCCTTTTAGCTTCTGCTCTATAGTCTTTCCTAGATTTTTACACATAGCTACTTCAGTGATTCTGTTGAATTTTCTGTTATTAGCACAATGGAGTAGTCAAAGCAGGGCTACAGCCTGTCTAGGTTAGGGGGTTTGATGCAGTCATCATGATGTGGCCAGTATTTAGTGCTGGCTCTAGAGGCCTGTTCCCGGTAGCAACTTTTCTCTTTACATATCCACTTCGGATTTCATTGACCTAAACTTTTCACGAAGACAAGTGAAATGTTTACATCTTACTACCTTGAAGAGGACATTTTGGTTGGCAAGAGACATTGGCTGTCCTCAGACCTTTCGGTCATCCTCAGGTATGGTAAGGAGTCTGTCGTGTCGTGTTCAGGTCCCGTCATCTTGTTCTCTACTAGAGGATTCCCTCCCTCACCGTGAATCTCTAACATCACCTGATGCAACGTCTGTGCCGTTTGTTTTCCTCTGGCTAACCTAATTTTTCTTTTTTAAATGATTTTCTGTTTAGCTATCAAAGGATTTTCACCACAGCATAAGATCACTAGCTTCGAGGAGGCCAAGGGCTTAGACCGAATTAATGAAAGGATGCCACCTCGCAGAGATGCCATGCCCTCCGACGCCAACCTTAACTCCATCAACAAGGCTCTCGCCTCAGAGACTAACGGCACGGACAGCAATGGCAGTAATAGCAGTAATATTCAGTGACCACTTCCCGCCGGGGCATGATGGGGATTGCTGCACAGAGCAGTGGGATGTTCTTGCCTCTGATGGTAGTGTCTTTGCTCTGGGGGCCAGGAATTGGATTCAGTTTACACTATCATTAAAAAAGAGGGAGAGAGATAATAAACTATATTTTGGTGGGGATGGTGATTAAACACCTCTTTTGGGTATGCCTTTTCAAAATGCTTATAGGGAAAAAAATTTAAAAGGAAGCTAATGCTAGTATATACTGCAATGTTAGGTGAATGAACATGTTTTCCTACTGCATTGGGGACTTCTTGATAGGTTAATGAAAGGTCTTTTATTATTATGTTACTGGACATGAAAACTTTGTCTAATTTCTTACTCTATTGTACGTTTACAGTTGCAGCACTAAAAATGGATGACATCAAACATTTTTAACAAAATGATGTACAAACTAAATAAGGACTATTTATTGATAATGTTTTGCTACTCTTGTCAGACAATGGCTATAAAATGAATTAGGCAGTCTTAAAAAAAAAAGAAAAAGAAAAAAAAAAAAGAATGTTGCAAATTTGTTAAAATGCCAAAAAGGACAGTTTAATTTTGTACAGATTATGCTTACCTCAGGTTTCTTTAGTGTGCTTGAATGCCCTTCTTTCCAGATAACATTCATCTTATTAATTTAGCAATGAATATCTTATTTTTCCTTTTATCTAAGTTTTAAAAAAACTGGAATAATTACATCTATCTTTTTTTTTTTTGCTGTTTATATTTAGGGGTTTTTGTTGATAAATCAAGTCTTGATTGTGGCTTGCTGAATTAAATATTTATGAGTGGTGCATTTTTAAGTATAGTGAACAAGACACCATATTAAGTACAGTGATAAAGCATCTATATTCTGTAAAAAAAAAACTCTGCCTATGCATGTTTTTTAAGAAAAAAAAAATGGCTGTATCGGCCTGTATGGGACTGTACTGCGCTTAGTGGTCTGACATATACTGGAAATGTATGTATACTGGCTTACTTTATATTCTCTAAAATGCTTAATGCCTTTGAAATTTTGTAATCAAAAAAGCTTTGAAAAAATCTAAAGGGGAGAGTATTCTTAAAAGTTTTTAACATAAGCTTGTCAGTGCACACATAGATGGTTAGCATGTTTAGCAAACCTTGTGAAATTTAAATAAGTTTGTAGTTACATGTGAAATTCTAAATGCATGGTAACTGTTAATGTCATGATGGTTTAGTTACTTTGTTCTGTTCTGTCATGTGCCACAAAATATGTACTTTTTTCACTTTTTTCCCTTTGTATATCAGTTACGGGTTACAACTGGTTCATTCTGAAAACAACAACAAAAGTCCATTCATATTTTTTAACAATTGTATAAGTGCCCAAGTAATTCACTACAGCCTAAAGCCTTGCCTTTGTAATTTGACTTCTGAAATGTTGGCAATCAAAGCATGCACTTGTAACAATGAAAAAGAAAAAGCATTTTATATTACTACTCAATAAAATGTGCATGAACTTAAAGAACTCTCATCCTTTCCCTGAGTCTGCTGAAGGGATTCACGTGCACAACCACCATGCCGTCTTCTAGGTGCTGGGCCCACCACCGCGCATCACAGATCTCCTGAACAGGCTTCTCCAGGGCCTCGTGATCTAAGGTGTGGTGCCTACTTCCTCTGTAAGAATCTTGGTGGATTTGTGTCCCAAATCAGAACAAGAGAAATATATTTAAAGAGCAAATGCCATCTTCTGGCTCCCACAAGTGTGGGAGCCAGTTAAGAAATCAGAGCATTTCTTTTTATTGAAAAACAAAAATTGTTATCAGGTTGTTTCAGTTGTACTGGATGCCCTACCTGCTAAGGCAAAAAGAACTAAGCTACTAAGTGAATTTTCATCACAGAAGAGAGTTGCATTTGTATTGATACAAAATTTGTATACCAGCACTTCAGCTAATAGCTAATCACCTAAAGATTTAAGATACACCAAATTTCAGTTTGTTTCTAACATTGTTCATTTTTGGTGCACTTTGCTTTATGTAATAAAGTATGCCTGTTATATTAAATAATAAGACTATGGAAATTAGTGATATAGTATACCAAAACAAAGATGTTCTAGATACATTCTCTGACAAAGACTATCCCAAACTTATTTTAATGAATCCAGACATTTTTTCCTGTGGATATTTTTCCATCTTAAACAAATGACATCCAAGGAAAATATTTACATGCAACTTACTAGATGATGTGAAAGAAATGGTAATTCTGGTACCAAGGTGTTTCTTTTCTTTCTATAACTGCAGAGAAAATATCCTGACAAGAAAAAAAAGTTTTGTTTTTTGGATTCCTTTCTTTTACAAATTGTGCTGAGACAACTATGGCATAGAAATAAACATTTGACATTAAAATAAGCAGTTGATGTGAGTATTGCTTGGTCTTTCTGGTCAAAAGTTAGGAACGTCATACTGTGTGTTTTTGCATAATAATTCAGTCTATCAAAGAAATTGATGAAGAACTGAAGTTATTTTTTCACAGGGGATAACATGGCCAGATCATCGGTTGTGAGGTCTGTCTCCTGTCCTGTTGGAGAAACTGTTGAACTCTTGAGCTGCTCATGCCAGTGAATCTTTGCCTGTAACCAAGACATACACGCACACACACATACACACACACATAACACATAACAGAAACAACCTCCTGCCCCCTCCTCTACCCTCTCCCAAGGTAACTTACCTCTCAGTGGACCCAAACTCAGTGCGTTTTTCATCTAGCTTTTCAGGGCTTAAGGGCCAGCTTTGAGCCTAGATCAACGGTTTTTCTTATCTAAAATATCCTCTACATATATTCTTATAAAAAAATTTTTTGAAGAAATGAAAGAAACATCCTGAGAGGCTGAACTTGTATGATGAGGGGAGGGTAAAGGAACATCCCTGTGCATTGACAATGGCATGTCTTAGTGCAATGTGTCCAAGTGGAATTATGGCATCAGCCCCAACAGTGTTCTGGTGACACTGAAGCCCCTAGAATAATCTTGTCCTGAAACATTTCTTTCCTTCCCACCCCCACTACATCATGTGAAATAATAAACTCTAGTATACACCCATATTTCCATGGAGAAGCCAGGCGCCCCCATGCAGCACCACAGAGGACAGTGGGAAAGGCCTTACCTGCGTATCTCACACTTTCCCTTGACTATGTCATGTCTCCCACTCCCTGGATCTTGTCGCATTCTGTTTGAAGCAGGGACCTTTCAGCTTGCCCTGCCTGAGAGCCTTCATTTCTTCAACACTGGAAGCCCCTTGAGTTAGATAAATCTGAGATTCCCAAACTAAACATACTTCCTTTCCCTTGGTATGTGGTCTTCCACTTCATTCATTACACAAATGTTGATCCTTTCCTATGTTCCTCTCACTGACCTAGGTTCTTATTTTTTCAAAAAAAAAAAAAAAATACCAGGCAATCTTGACAGCATATCAGTTTTCATTATAATGTTAAATGTGACCATTCCATCAAAAAGTGAGTCGCTGTCTGGCTTAACACTGAACTGATTTTTAATGCTATTTTTACTATTTCATAGGTATTCCTTTTGTATATATTTTAAGGTAATACTAACCAGAAAAGCCTCCAATGAGGCCCTTTCATTGATACATTCATTTTTTTTTAGAAAAGCATTGGTTGTAATGGGAGGCAAGAAGTAGCAAAAGAAATATTGTACCTTTTTCTGGTGGTCACATTTTTAAGAGACAACACTTACACATTGGAATGCCTGTGGCAGAATGGAGACTTTCCAGGCAAGAGAGTCTATTTTAAGGAAAGATTAAAGAAAACTAAAAGTTAATAGAAGAAGAGATGATAGCTATATTGACTTGGTTATTCCAAAAGAACTTTCATAAATCAGAGACACCTGCTTATTATAAAGAAGAAGTTGCAAATGAATGAGGCTGTTTAAGTAGAGAGTAGTCAACTGCAGGAGAATGTGGATGCCTCCCCTCACTTAAAGTATTAAAACCTAGGCAGGCTCCGCCCAGCACCACAAACATCGCCTGCATGACGAGGCATAGAAGGAGCTACACTAGGCATGGTAGAAAAGGCTCTCTTCAAAGATAATATTGAAGTTAGCCTTCAAAAGCAAGACTTTAAATATCTATTCCATTACTTCATCTCTTGGGAACATAGAACTTTGATTTGCACACTTTCCCAGAACCCTGTGTTTACAGGAATAGTGCCATGGAGCTGAGCTTTCTGCATCAACCAAAGCAGCCCTTTTATCCGTTTTGCACTTAAAAGATACCAGCTGAGAAGGGTTGCCACCAGATTAACAAAGCTCAAAACTATTGTAAAATATTAGTTCAAAACAAAGTTCACTTAAACTCCAGTTCTAAGGCATTCCTGGCAAGTTATATTTTGAAATCAATTGATACCCAGTGCTGGGGCATCAGGTTTCTTCTCAGCAGCTCCACGTCATCTATAGGACTAAATTCAGCTTCAAGGTGGCATGCAAGGCCATTCATGATGTGAGGCTCACCAGTTTAACCTGCCTCCGCTTTCTCAGCCTGACCTTGAGCTTCAGGCATGCCAGACATTTAATAATACTCAGAAAACATGATCCCCTTAAGCCTCTGAATCTTTATTCACACACCTTCTATGCAGAATGACCTCTCTTTTGCACATGTCAAATTTGCCTTAAATACTCAGACGAGGCATTTCCTCCTCCTCCTAAGTGCATAGTATCCTGTACTGCCTCTATTTTAGCACTTAATACACTGTATAATTGTTTATTGTCTTTGACACCTCCATGAGAATTGTTGCTTATCTTTGTTTTCTCAGCATGTAGGAGTGCCTGGCATAATGTTTCTTGGAAGAAGGGCAAATAGGGAAAGAAAACAAAAATATTTTCAGCATGGTCTTGTGATATGGGCTACCCCGGAGTCCAAGCGGCAAACCTGTTTTGGAGAACCAATGAAGAACTTCCCCCAGTCCAGTATTTCCCACTCAGCCTCATAAGAATCTCCCAGGGCCTGAAGGTCTAGAATGAAGCCCACATTTTAATAAGCATCCACCAAAATTCTTATGATCAGACAAGTTTGAGAAATCATGTCATAGTTTATTTCTATAGCAAATTTAAAACTCAGTCCTGTATTTCCAATTCAACAGATTATCTAGCATGGACAAATAGTTTACTGCTTACCATTGCTACTATACAGAATTGTGCATAATGAATTTAATTTTTGTTTAGGGTGGCTTAATGAATATGAATTTAGATGAAAATATTGGATTATTTAAGTATGTAAACCTTAATATTCACTACTAGATAGGTTATAGGGAGGAGGCAGTAGCCTTTTTGAGTTTATAGGAAAGGAGATTAGGATGGTAAAGTATATGGATACTCCTCTGGGAAAAAGTCTCATGTGTCTTGAAGGGAATAAAATGCTTTCATATTGAAAAGATTATTTCTTTCACATCACTCCCCCACTGCACCAACCTCACCTACCACCACCAGCTGTAATTTGTTCAAAAATGCCTTTCAATGTATCTACAGCACAGTTTATCTTCAAGAATCTCATAATGTATCTGAGGTTTTACCATGAGAGAGTCATTCCTTTGGGTTCAACAGCACTTTCTCCAAAAGTCCTTTATTATACACATTACAGGAGGAAACCACAGCTGTTGTCAGTCAGTAACATGTTAGAACTCAACACAATTGCAACAGGGCAGACCAAAAAGCCTAATAAAGATGCGTGTTTATCGAGAGGGGAAGGTCACACCTGGAGCCTGGGACAGCGCTTGGGACCGCTGGTAGCAGCTTGGCCCTCAGAGAAGAGGCCTCTCGTGTGATAAGCTGGCACATTCACTGTGTAACTTTCTGTTTAGGCATGTGCCAGCAGAGAGTAGAATATAATGAAATTCAAGACACGATCTCTCCTCTCACAATATGCAATAACAGGGTTTTAAAATAAAGCAGTTTATGCCACAAGTGCTCATGGCTGCAGAGGACGTTCACAGCTTCCAGCATCACTTCTCTGCACAACACTGACTCCCGGGAAATACCACCAAATTAACATATAAATAAAGCAAAACTGAATTGATTTCTTACTGTAGTCATGTAACCACTACCTTGGCAGAGTCACAGTAAATCTAGATGTAGCAATGGAAAAGCATAATATTTATGAGAGCTTTTCTGGTTAAGGTGGATGTTTCCATGCAGGAGACTGATAAGGAGTAGACAAAGTTTAAGGCGTTTAACATTGGAAGAAACCGCAAGGGGAGAGTTATTAAGCGAATTCTGAAACACAAGCAAAAATATGTGGCTTGAAATAATGACTTTTTTTGGTCTCTATGTATTTGAGTTATATATGACAATTGAAAGCAAAATCATAAAATTAGAAGATGCTGATGATAGATAAGAAAAAAAGACCCAAGTAAATGAGACACATGCTGCGTTCATGGATTAGAGAACTCAATATACTTAGAAAGACATCAGTTCGTCTCAGTGAATCAATAAACTTAATGCAATCCAATCACAACTGTTGCAGTATCTTCTAAAAGATATTGATAAGTTGGTTTAAAAACTATATTGAAAAAAGAAAGAGTTAGGGCAGCCAAAACAGTTTTGGTAAAGTCAGAGTTGGAGAGTTTACACCACCCGATTTTAAAATTTACTCTAAATTAACAGTAATTAAAATCATATGGTATTGATGAATGGATATAAGAACAGAAGAGTCAGAAATAGACCCACACAAATGGTTGACTGAGAAGTGTTCAGACAATCCAATGAAGAAAGGACTTTTCAGCAAATCATGCTGAAACAATTGATAAGCCAGTGGCAAAAAAAAAAAAATAAGAACTCAACCTTCACACTTTATACAAAAGTTAACTCAAAATGGATCATAGACTTAAATTTAAAAACACAAAGCATAAACTCTAGCTGAAAACAGAATATTTTTATGGTCTTGAGTTAGGCAAAGATTTCATATGAAGGATACTAAAAGGACAAGTTATATAAGAAAAAAATGATAAATTGGACTTCATCAAAATTATAATGGTTTTGCTTTGCAAAGGGTGTTTGTTAAGAAAATGAAAGGGCAAACAATCTGAGAGAAAATATTTTCAAATCACATCTGTATCGAGCAACTGTACACAGAATATAAACAAATCTCTCCAAATAAGCAGACAAACCAAAAAAAAATGAGCAAACAATTTGAACAGACACACCAAATATGTGACAAATAAACACATGAAAATGTGACCAAAATCATTAGTCACTAGGAAAATACAAAGTCACATGAGATAGCACTTTATGGCTATTTGAATGACAACACGAACACACACACACACACCTCACAAGTTTTAAAAATGACTATATCAAGTGCTTGTGCAACACACACACACACAAACACACACACACACACAC